CGCCGGTGGCAATGCCCCCTTTCAACGTCCTGATCCTGCTCCCCCCCTGCCCTGCTGCCATGGCTGTTACCTCCAAGGAGCAAGGGGGAGGGCGAGGCCAGCTCCAGTGGCCTCGCCCCCCACACTCCATTCCCACCACTTCCAGGGAGCAGGGTGGGGAGGGCAAGGCCAGCTCTGTCCCCTGTGACCCCACCATCATGGTGGTGGGCTGTCACCTGTCCAAATGCTTTTTCACACTCTATTGGCTGTTTGTCAGCCAATTAGAGTGTGATTAAACTGTTTTGGACAGACAGACAGGCAGACAGGCTTAGGCTTTTGTAGTATTAGAATAGTGATAGAATATCTTCTGTCTGCAGTAGACAGTGGGTGCATCTACACAAGACGCTAACTGTGTAGTAGCCTAATAACACTGTGCAGTAGCATGCCAGGCAAAACCCATGTGAATACGCTACTGTGTAGTACTACTAGGCTACTGCACAGTTAGTGTCTGTAAAAATCTGTGCGCCAGTACTGTGTGCCGGTACTGTGAATTAGCGCCAGTTACTCTGCATTAGATTTAGTACTGGTTATCCAAGTACTAAATTTAATGCACACTAAATATGGTGCATTAAGGAATGTTTAGACACATCCAGGACAAAAAGTAACAGTCTGAGATTGCAAGAAAGGAAATTAAACTTGGATATCAAGAACTATTGTCTGAGAGAGAAATTAAGTACTGGGAAAGATTATGTAGAGATGTTGTGAAATCTCCATCTTTGGGAGTTTAACACAACCACTTTGCTTAGATAGCTTAAACAGGATGTTCTTGTCTTGAGCAAAAGGCTAGACTATATGACCTCCCAAGGTCCCTTCCAGCCATATTTTGCTATGATTCGGAATGCTTTGTTAAGATATAGACAGATTAGATCTACTACATTTACTTTGCCTAGAATATATTTGATAAGACAATAGATTTTAAATTAGTCTGGCACAATCTCTCTTTGGCAAATTTTTCTGTATTGTATTTTAACCCATTTTACAATTACCTTCATATCTTTAATCATTCTTTCCTTTAAAATGTAATTCAAAGCCTTGCCTATTATTGCAGGCAAATGAACAGGCCTACAGGAGCCTAAGTCACTTTCTTGTCTACATTACCTCCTTGGAAAGTGCTGCGATTGTACCACCAACAGCAGTATAGCGTTGTTGGTACAATAATTCAATGCTTATAGCATTTAATTTAATTTTAGATCACAGATAATAATTCAATAGCATTTAAACTAATTTTAGGTCACAGATATCCAGTACTTCCTTTATGTTTTATTTAAGAGAATGTATATAGGTCTTTTCCCTTTGAAAGATACCTTTAATATTAGATATTTGTGATCTACAATGATGTAATAAAGCTATCATGGAAGCAAAGCCAATGTCTTAGAGTATCACTTCAAAATTCTAAACAACATGGCTAAATTCTAAATCTGGGGAGTTTAAATTCAAGAACAATCGTTCCTTTTACTCAGATGGCCATAAGTTTTTTCCAAACCCGTGAACACAATGAAGCTATCAGTCAGTATGCCTGCAGATGATGCTGTAAAAGTCTCCAGGAACATGAGCAGAAGGCAAACCCGTTAAGAAGAAACAGAGATAAAGGTCAGTTCATTCCAAGAGAATGAGTGCACTGAAATACCTTCTAAGGCCACATTTGGAATGACCTGTTTCAGAAAGTTTTCAAGGTTATCCGTCATGGAGAGTCATCTGTCTTGGAAGATACTAAATCTTTGAATTTGAACTCTTCAGCAGAGAGTCCTCAAAAATGGTAGCATAGTGTGGCAGGCAACTATGAACAAGGAGTCTCAAAATGGTGGGGGTGGAGCACAGAAGTGCTCAGGACATTGGCAACAGGAGACAGTCATCTATGCTAGATAGCCCCCAGCATTCTTTTTGACTTTGAGTATCCTTTGAACCCCCTAAATTGTGTAATCCCTGCTCAGAAGAGACACAAATGGATTTGAGTTGGAATTTTCCCTGAGTAAAAGATGCAAGATTTGGCCTTGTTCTGTATGAAATATCTTGAGAATCAAGAAGAACATTAAGAATAAGGTTTTCAGAGCCATTCTTCATTGGGCTAACTCTACTCCAATTGAACTATCCACCAACTTCAAATGAGGGGTGATTATACCAGCACTAGATACTTTTCAAAGTTGCACCTCTGAAAGGTTTCCTCCTGTCTGCTGCATGGCTCCAGTTTCTCTGTACATATGTAATAAATAAGAATTTTTTCTTTTTATGAACATTCTTTACAAAGCTAGCAGTTTTTTAAATATGTAAAATATGCAGTCACACAAAACAACCAACTCTTTTTGTATTCTACCGCAGGCCAAAATGCTAGAAAACAATACAAAGAAGAGCTTTTGTTCTAATGTTCTTATCTCTTCTTCAGTGTTTACTTTTTGCCATGCATTTCTAAACAGTCAATGTATCTAATCACATTGCACCATGGGATATTGTTGTTTATTCTTTATACTGTGGTACAACCCAGGATCCCTAATCATAAACCAACACCTTTTTGTGATAAGCATTGTACAGACACAGAACAAGAAGATAGTCCCTACCCCAAAGACCTTACAATCTAAACATAGGAGAAGATCCAACAGGCAGATGAAGAAATACAAAAGCAGTAAGATAGCATTGGTTAATATGATAGGCATTAGTCTCAGAATATCAGCAGCCCCACTTAGGGCAAAATAACCCTGCCTAGCCCCTCCTGGATCTGCAGCCAGGGGGAGCTAGAGCCCAGGGTCAGCACCTGTGCTGTCCCCAGTAGTATAAAAAGCTGCCCTGGCCAGTAGCTCAGGACTTCTCACTCTCAGGAGCTTCTGGGGCCCAGCCACTTGGTACCTGGGGACACTACCCCTTGTGCCAGCTGAACTGCTGCAGCAGCCCTGAGAGTTCCCTGCACCCTCTACC